ACTAACATTCTTCCGGCGATCCTACCTAGATAGAGGCATAGAGGCCTAGAGGCCAACAAGATTGACAATGCTTTTTATTCATGGGTAAATACTATTGAAAAAATATTTTATAAACATGAACGAACCTACACTTTTGAATCGCGATACACCTGAATTACCTAGGTCAAACTCAAAACTTCAAACAATGAAGATATTAAACGAATTTCCAGCATTAACTGTAGAAACAAGAATACTCAGAGAAACAAAAAGAATCTGCCATTTAGATTAAATCTAGTTTTTAATCGTCGTTTACATATACTGGTCTCAGATATGTATTAGCATAACTCAATCGATATTGATCTACAAATTTCTCAAATAATTATCGAATATTACTTTTGATAGTAGGTAGTAGGTACTCTACCTATCAACTGTCAGAGAGAAAGTAAAAGCACCTTTCGCTACTCAGCGGTGCTGTGAGAAAATGAACAGCGGTTACACAGTGATTACATCCATTTACCATTGGCACAGTAACAATACTTCATTCTCGAATATTCCTTGACGTTTTTTGCAACCTCAGACGGCGCCGTTGATAACGACCATCCGGTTCAACTCCAAGCTATCTATTTGAACTTTTAATTTTTTTACCCCCTACAATCTACAGTCACCTTAATTACTTGCTTCTTCAATTTCACAATGCCTTAAAACAATAGCTTACGGTTTTCTATATTATGTAACATTTCAGTGGTAATATTAAAAAAAACCTACCTACCTCGATTCAGTTTAAAAATACCTTCAAAAGGTTATAAGACATTGCTTCAGAGTATATTCACCCCTAAGATGATTCTCATTCAACCGTCCCGGATATAACTCTTTTATAACCTATCTTGAATCTATTTTTACATACCCAAGAGAATGAGAATCTTACGTGTCTCAAAACGGCATTCTATCAGTTAACAATGGGCTAGGTAAAATAACCAAAATGTATTTCCTTAACAAGTCATTGTTAGAAAAATCATCCAATTTCTTCTTTGCCCCTTTGTTTAAAAACAAGACCCCTGTTGTGGTGAACAAACAAACGTGGCCCGCGTGGGTGAGGGGTTAACGCGTGTACGTCAATTAAATTAAATGCCAGTTACCATTAAAATCAATTTAAACTCTTTATCTGAAACGATCGTGTTTTTGACCGATACTGAAGATTTCTGTTATAGGACATAATAATGTTCTCAAGTAGGTTATTGTCTCTTTAAGAACCGATTTCATTTAAATATGGAAGTAAGTATATTTTTTGGTATCAGTACTATTTTCACACTGTTAATGAATGAATTGCAATTCCTGAATGAAGTGTTATGACTCCCACAGAAAAATGCTTATTGCGGGAATGCGACACCACAATGCATATCCAGTTACACGTTTCTAGTAAAAGTCACTCTTCGGATTACACAACAACCGCATGGGCTGATACTTTATTCACAAGCTTTTGAAATTTACAAAATTCTTTAGCTGAACATGTTCAAATTGTTTACAAAAACTGTGAATTTCATTACTAATTCTACGGTTGATTTTACGCTGCGTCTTCTCACTACGAATTTTAATTTAATAACCTCTAAGTGGAGAGACTGTGTTTTCGTGGTTAAGTAACGATCTACATTGCCTTAAGAGTTTATTTGTCGTGTTGTATGATTTATTATCGTGTCTCTTATGTATCGATCTTGACACACTTACTGTCTTTTCACTACACCGTAACTCTATTTGTACACTTGGCAGATGTTCTACTGATTCTGTATCTACACTAAAAATACATGCGAATGCGACCAAGTTTTTAACAACATTCTTGGTGTTATTGCACATTTTCTCATCATATTATCATCCCATATAATATGGATAAGTAAAGCATCATTGGATATTATATTTATTATATTACAACTTTAATCTCTGGATAAATACGATATCGTCCATAACTTAATGTAGAGTATCATTAATATTTTATGAACCTATGCTATGTTGTCTGCTAGAGTAGCGTGTGAGCCCAGCAGTACAAAATAGGATTGGAAATCACGAATCACGATGATGTTTAGCTTGAATCGATTTGCTTATGGAAGGGATCTCATTTATTTTCTTAACCAATAGTAATAATTACATCCCCCTTCGATATTTCGTCACCCAAATGCTGAATGGTTTTTAGTCTGGGCTTGATTTGTCTATGATTTTGTCCATGAAGTGGTTGCTTTACCCAACCCTCAACCAAATCTCCATCCCTTGAGATTATCTGTCACACGCAGAAGTTAGTCAACAATTCACCCTCTTTTAGCAATACAAGTGCAAAGGAAACGAGGGCGTGTATTTAATTTTCCACCGGTAATGACCGATGTTTCTGCTTCGGAAATCTCATTACAAACATGATTGACATCCTCTTCCAAATGGGAAATAGCTGGATTTGTGGTATTAATAGAAATATCGTTACAAGGAACATAAGTAGATAGGAACTACATTTATCTAATCAGACATAATAATGGGTACGTGAACTTGGAGAAAGGATAAATTATATTGAATAGTATAGCTATATTGTAGTTATCATGATAAGAATAGATAAGAATAAGGTAGACTAGGTAGAAGAAAGTAATCCCAACCCATTGGACTTCGCAGTCTCGAAGATGAGAATACAGAATATCATTATCGTCAATACCAGCAAAAAGTTAGCTATCTACATACAATCTGCACCGTCACGAGACAACAGCAGACAGTGTAATGTTTCGCGCGGCATTACCTCAATTCTGATTGGCCGATAGGAATGGCGTGATGTAGCCGGCTCTACGCTAACCGCTCTTGCACCGACGACCGTGCTGCCCCCACGATACGCTACGACACACAATGTAAATCTGCTGATGACGTAGCCAAGAACTCGCGCCACGCGATCGCACGCCTACCGATTTTGAAGGTCACCGAGTCACCGTTCCTCGGCGGTACACAGACAGATCTTCAGATAATGGCGTTTTTAATAATAATACAGTAATCCCACCTATCATATCTTTTAGATTTAAGGATTTAACAACAATGTTTGAAGTAAACGAAAAGCTACACAAAATAAAACCTTTGATAAGCATTGGTTCAACTAACATAGTTATAAAAATAAATTAGGACTACGAATAAATACAGGGTGTTAGGTAAATGGGTAACCCTGTATAAGAGAATAAAAATACTAAGCTCGTTTTTATTGTAGAGCCACAAATAGGTAATTGTATTACTAATTCTATTATTCTAGTACAGGTTAAAGACCCGACCGTGAACTGACCGTGGACGAATAAAGATGATGGAACAAAAATAACATCTGTATTTCGTAAAGATGACGTCAGTGCAGATTGTTGTTTTCCCCGACTTCCGTATCAAAATGCAATAGCAAATCCATGCAAAATGCAAATTTCATTAATATTAATAATTATAACAATGAGCTCACATTATCATTTAATACTTCCAATATCTACATATTTAGTAGATATACCTTAGATAAGCAGGGTTGCTTATAATAAAAATGCTGTATTGAGGGACCATAGAATGGACGTTCATAAAGAAGAAGATACAAAAAACAACTAAATAAATACTGTCTGCCTGGGACCTACAAAATTAAAAACGGGAGCAAACAATAGGGACAAAACTCAACCGGAGTAATAAAAGATTTGATTTATTGAGGTGTCAAAATGATACGATGGGTTTTTATGGGGAATTAATTTCATAGAATAGGATTTTAGGGAATGAATGAATGTTCTCTGTTGATATTTTTATCTAAACTCTTAAAACATTTTCTAATAATAGAATTTATTGACTGGTTTTGGAATTGGAAGTATCGATAAACGTCATCAACGCCTAGTCTCGTTGCCAAACTGTTTATTTGTAGTTTAATCATGTGCTTCCTTGGCTACTGATGGTAAATATTTATAAGTAACAGTGCCTCTTACTTCAAGTTCAAAACAAATTTGTTTGTCAACAGCGCACAGGACACTACGGACCTATTCGGAGGAATAATCATCGCATCGTATTGCCGTGTTTTGGGCTGTTCTTTATATCATTTAGGGACAACACTTTAACATAATCGACCTAATATTTTAGCCTCTATCTTCTTCCTGTAGGTTGTTTACTCAGTATAATCGGGCATTGGCAAGCAAGTGTTCGCGAACCGCACCCTTCCGTCAATATTGTCAATATTCGCTGTATGTATTTTTATCTTGCCGTATATTGACCGAAGTTTAACCTTTGCTTGCGTTCACATGATAATAACGTGGTCTACCTTTACAAAAAGGTTTCCGTGTGGAACATTCCAGTTTGTTTGTATTTAGGTCTTGTTTTAACTTTTTCTAAGTAGACGACGCGACGGGTATGATCGTTGGGTCAGTTTGTTGGCAGCTAATTTAATTTGGCCGAATTGTCTTTACTTTAATTTAGAACTTGATTAAGAACAGTCATAATTCAAACCCAATCTAACCCATCTTTCCCTGTATTTTAAAAAATCCACAATATGGATCAAAGTATAATTATTTTAATGCTACTTTCTGACACAATACGTCAATAGATCGTAGTCGTAGTAAAACGCTAAAAATAACGTTTCAGTGAATATTCCTTGAAGGAAAAAAGTGTTATTTAATAATGTCCTCTCGTGCCTAGCCTAGCTGTCCTCGTTCGACAATAGCGGTCATTTCGCCGTGTGGGCTGTAAACCGTTAAATATGAGCTCAGTGCTGATTTCTCCTGAAGCCACATAAATACATAAATAAAACCCAATTAAATAGGATGTAAACTAGGTATTTGAAAATAAGCTTTTAGTTTACTAATTACTGCTACACTTGTGAAAAATCGAAATCCTAACCTATTCTTGATTGACGAGTTTCGGTAGCTTCAAATTATTACATTAAATCAATTAAATTGTAAATATGAATTGAATATTGCATTAAATAAAATAGTATGTCATTGTCATTGAAATGTTATTTATTTGATTATTAGGAATTGTGATTTATATATTAATGTTTATTGCAGGGGTATTAGCCGATGTGAAGAAAGAGTTCAATATCGGCGATGACTACGCCGGTCTGCTGCAGACGGTATTCGTCGTCGCGTACATGGTGTTCGCGCCGATCTTCGGCTACCTCGGCGACCGCTACTCGAGGAGAGCCATCATGGCTTTCGGAGTGGCGTTATGGAGTCTCACCACTTTCGTGGGCTCCTTCATTCCGGTACGTACCGAATCGTTGGTCAAAGGTTAGTGCTGGAGCACAATTTACTTAGATTTGTTGAGGGCAATGGAACGGTGGATAGATGACAGACATGAGATCTTACGTTGAGAGTCTATCAGATTAAACTAGTTGGCTAGTTTTGAGCTATCAGCTACATCTTCTACGTGACCAACTAAAGTTAAATTACTTAGGCACATAATCATATCACAGTAGCTATTCAAGTGACTCTGTCTAATCTGTGATCTATTCAATTCAACATTCTTTGTTGTGACTTGTGTTTGTGTCCATTGCATATGATAAGAAAAACTATAATGACGAAACTATGCAAAAACTGATAAGATAGGAGCGACTTTAAAATACAATACTGAATGAGTAATTTACGAGGGAGAGTTCCCAGTCATTTATCCAGCTTATCACTTACCATGCATTTTTCAATAATGATAGGAACGCTCGTTTAAGATATTTTGCTCTTGCGCAAGCGTAGACAGTTAGGTATGTGCTAGTATTGAGGAGATAATAGAATGATGTTTTTGCTTGCAGAATTACGCGTGGTTCGCGGTGTTCCGCGGTCTGGTGGGCATCGGCGAGGCGTCCTACAGCACCATCGCCCCAACGATCATCAGCGATCTGTTTGTGGGAAACGTGCGCACAAAAATGCTCGCATTTTTCTACTTCGCCATACCAGTGGGAAGGTGATTACAATATTTGATTGACTTTATGGTTGCCGTGTGGTTCTGATAAAGTAGAATAAACCATTCCCGGGAGTGTCGTCATAAAGGCGACTTAGGGACAAATATTCAAACATCAGACCTCCCTAACCTGTTTGGCCAGCGCAGGGTACCAGTGTAAGGTAAATCTTCTGGTAATTTGTACTGCTCATGCTGCAGGATACTCTACTGCAGGAGTCCTGCAGTGAAGTCTCAATGAACTGATGATGATGAATGACAAAGCCAATATGCCCTAATTTGAATATAAGAGCGTTTTCACAGATTGCTAGCCGCGTACCTATTCACCGTAGCATTTTCAATTCCATCGATCAAATCCAGACAAACCAAAGAGGTAAATTAATAAATTGTACGTATATTATTTCCCCAATTAATCAGGAAGTATGGTGTGATCATTATGTCATGTAGTAACCGTAGTACTATACCAACTATACCGTTGATAAAATGGTTAAATATTTTATGATTTTCCTTCCTTCATTTTGGAACGGAGGAAAATCGTAAAACAAACAAAATTTTATTAATTAAAAAATTAGGAATAGGTTTTAATAGTTTGATACATTATTATCAGCTATAAATTAGGGACCATGACCAGGTAGGTATCATTATTATCACAGATCACTCATTCTTAAAGGTCTTTATTATTATTAAGCGTTTGGTGGAATAAATACCCCTTTAACATTGGTTTTATCATAAAGAAACGCTTCACACGTAGTGTACACAAGTGGTAGTGTCAATCGTCAATAATACATCCATCTGAGAGAAGAATAAGTTTTGTGTTGTCTGATTATTATAAATTGGCAGTGTTTTCAGTGCACGAATGAGATGTTTCATTTGACTATTGTATTACCTATTGTCCTGTCTCTCACTTTTAGTAAGGTAATAAAATTAAAGGACTTTCTTTCTGTCTTAGATTATTTAAATTTTGTCTAGTGAGAGTAGGAAATACATGATAATTAAATGTTAGACAATTTTTCAAGGAATATTTAAAAACAAAAGAGACGGGAAGATGAAAAAATGAAGATGAACTATTAAATTCAGGAAAACTTGTTCTCGGTCAAGAATGAAGGCCCGTAGCTTGCCAATCAGCAGTTCAGCACAAAAAAGAAGAAAAGAAACAACTGAAAGGCTTCTGATTTTCCAGTGGTATGGGCTACATCGTGGGGTCGGAGGCGGGCGCGGCGGCCGACAACTGGCGCGTGGGGCTTCGCGTGACCCCGTTCCTGGGCGCCGTGGCGGTCGCGCTCATCATATGGGTCATGAGGGACCCGGAGCGCGGCGCCGCTGAGGACAGCCACATGAAGCCCAGCTCCTACAGCGACGACTTGCGGTCGCTTGTCAGAAAGTGAGTACTTTATACATAGCCCTAATTATTGACACTGCTAACTCGACGGTTACATCGTTTGGGGCTTCGTGCGACCTCGTTCCTGGGCGCCGTAGCGGTCGCGCTCATTATATGGGTCATGAGGGACCCGGAGCGCGGCGCCGCTGAGGACAGCCACATGAAGCCCAGCTCCTACAGCGACGACTTGCGGTCGCTTGTCAGAAAGTGAGTATCTTCTTTATATTGACATTGTTAACTCGACGGTTACCTTGCGTGGGGTTTCGCGTGACCCCATTCCTGGGCGCCGTGGCGGTCGCGCTCATCATATGGGTCATGAGGGACCCGGAACGCGGTGCCGCTGAGGACAGCCACATGAAGCCCAGCTCCTACAGCGACGACTTGCGGTCGCTTGTCAGAAAGTGAGTACTTTATACATAGCCCTAATTATTGACACTGCTAACTCGACGGTTACCTTGCGTGGGGCTTCGCGTGACCCCGTTCCTGGGCGCCGCAGCGGTCGCGCTCATCATATGGGTCGTGAGGGACCCGGAGCGCGGCGCCGCTGAGGACAGCCACTTGAAGCCCAGCTCCTACAACGACGACTTGCGGTCGCTTGTCAGAAAGTGAGTTGACACTGTTAACGATTACCTTGCGTCGGGCTTCGCGGGATCACTCCCATTCCTGGTCGCCGTAGCGGTCGCGCTCATCATATGGGTCATTATGAAGGACCCTTGTTGAAGGTCGCTTGTCAGAAAGTGAGTACTCTTCTTTATTTATACACAGCCACTTGACATCTCGTCAATGCAGTTTAGGATGTTAAGTATACCTGCCCGTAAGTGCCTTTCACTCTCGTCTTGAAGAGGCCCGGGTAATAAATGTTCGGGAAAGACAGCAGACAACAAATTCCACTCCCCAGCTGTTCGTATTATAAAAGGGTTACGAAACGCTTAGTGCGAACTATAGAATTAATTTTCTTCTTTACCGTATCAATAATAGTTGGCAGACTAACCCAATAATTCCAAGGCAAAACACATAATTTTACTAGCTTTGATGATAACCCAATTAGTTATCAAACTATTCTACGTTTTAGTACCTTTGAAATCAATAAATTAGTAAGTGGGGAAAATGTGACATCACAGTTTTTCTTTGCCATACGAAAATGGGAGAGTCACGTTTTTACAGCTCATAAAAGCATGTCAATTGACCGGTAGTGTTATAACTCTATTAGTGTAGTTATACGGTCGTATGACATTGCCACGTGCGTGAGGTAACCGTATATCACTGAATGAATTGTTATATTTTCATGTACAAAAAGAATTTTAAGCAATTAAAATCAGTAACCGACAGTTCAAGTGATTACCTGTCTAGAATGTAAAATCAAACTTTATTTCATTTTATTTCAGTTCAGTATTTAGAAAATAAACATAGTTATCAACACGCGTTGGTGATCGGTCTTTCAAATACTCGATCATTATTATTTTATTTTACTAAACTCATCAAGAAAAGCGATAAAGCGTAAGACAGATATGGTGCCTGCACATTCTGCACCCACAGCTCCACATTGTGAAAATTTAATGGAGCGAGACGAACGAAAAGACGCGATAAAAACCCGTCTCCCCGTTAAAATTTATTTTAAAATATACATTTGTGGATAAAAGTAATGCCCCAATGAATGATTATGCTCTTAACATTTTTTAGTTTCGTGTGTTCACTTCGGAAGCCACAACCACGTGCATAGCAACAAACATACGTTGAAGTGCACGAAGAAAATTATGACGATCCCGATTTGCGCAGTGGCGTGTATCGTGGAAACTCGTTTATAATTACGCTAGGCGTCCCGGGTTTGATTCCCGGTCGGGTATTGACCTAAATAATCTAAATTTATTTTAATTTTTATTTTTCCAAATAGGCCCCCGCCCGGCTCGATGTCGTGATACTATGAAGTCTTAAGTTCCTTTGCTGCTAGCCCCAAAATGTTATGGGACTGATTTAATAGGCTTCCACTGGAATAGTAGAAGAGAAAAGACTCTTAATCTCGGTTTGAGTCACTGTGAAGATTAGCCTACGTTATCTTTGTTACAGTATATCTAGGATACCGCAAAACAAATTACGAATTATCTCAGGTTTACCTTCAGTGAATCATGCATGGGGTCATAATGACAGCAGCTTTATGAATCACAGAAAACACTGCAATAATATTTTGGTTCTGAATTAGTTGGTTAATCATGCCTATCTTTGTTTCCAGTCCATCGTTCATGTTGTCGACACTGGCCTTTACTTGCGTGGCGTTTGTGACCGGCGCCCTCGCCTGGTGGGGCCCCCAGTTCATATACCTGGGTCTCAAAATGCAGAACGATGTCGACATAACCCTCGAGAGGTGAGCTTGATCCCAACTACAATAGCTCCCCTATAAATAATAATAATAATTCAATATTGTTCTGACATGTACATTTTGCATCGAAGGGAGAAGTCCCTATTCTGTTAGGGCAGGTAATAGTTTAATATGATGGATGAAACTCACGCACACATTAATTGAAACAAACGATCAGGTATTCTCTAACGCATGCATTGAATCGATTCCCACTCATGTTAGTACAGTAGAATTTTAGATTAATCCCAATAATTGATTAATGTAGTAATGAGAACATGGCGGTTTTATAAGTATTATACTAAAATTTTAAATATTATAACGATATCTGAAGGCGGATACAGACTGGGCGTTTTTTCAGCGCGTTCATATGCTCGTATTTTGTCGCAACATGCCACTCAATTAATACAACAAAAATACGTTGTAAAAATAAGAACAAACAATCATATTTTATACCGCGCAACAATTTATACTTCGGATGGATAGTTTCTCTAGTGATTAAAATTTGATACGGTCTTAATATCTTATTTGTTCCAAGTGCTGTGTTCTAGCGTCCTTGCGTGCGATACAGCTTTCTTTCTACAAGTAAGCCTAATTACGTTTGTGTAAGTAATTGTTAAATTAGAACTGCTAGTTAATACTAATTAATGCCGGCAGTTCTTGATTTCATAAATAACACATTTAATACGTCCTTGCATTTATATTATCTGAATTATTTTACAATAGATATAAGCGCCTAATAATGACGCCTCAATTTTCCTTGCTATTTTTTTCTATTCGGCCTATAGTCACTCATATTGGAAAGTTTAGATTAGATGTTCAAGCTAACTTAGCTTCACTACAATTTTATTAAACGTGTGCGTGCGGTGTCAAAATGCGAGTTGACGCGTCGAAATAGCGGCTCAAGTGTCTAAGAGCTGGTCCAGATGACGCGTTCCGTCTATGAAAAAAAACGCGCAACTGCATGTGGACAGAATGTATGAATCTATCACCTCACGATCGCGCGAGTAATATCGCGTCATCCTGGACCAGTTCTAATTAGTTGTTTGGCGGCCAGCGTGTCGTACAAGTTCGGGCTGGTGTGTATGGGGGCGGGCGCGACGGGCGTGCCGCTGGGCTCGTGGCTGGCGCAGCGCCTGCGCGCCGTGTGCGAGGACTGCGACCCGGTGATCTGCGGCTGCGCGCTGCTCGCGTCCGCGCCGCTCGTCTACTTCGCCCTCATCGCCATCAGCGCGCACGTGGCGCTCACCTACTGCCTCATATTCCTCGGCATGATCACGCTCAACCTGACGTGGTCTATCGTCGCGGACATCGTGCTGGTGAGCGCTTTCTGCTGGCTGTTCACGTCACACTCCCGACTGGACGAATGTTCAATTTGAAATCCAATTCCCGTTCTAGTTGCACAATTTTTTGAGTTATACAGCTCGATTTGTGCCAGCTATTAGCACTTTCGAGATTTACATAATTGTTTCAGAACATAACAATAGAGAACGGAATCATGAATATTAGTCTAAGCATTTTGTTAAACGCTAAAATTAGTCCGAATGACGGGAGTCTCGCGTGAGCATACGAACAGAAATCGTCCATCGGCCCGAGTTGCAAATTACGTGTTCCAATGAGAATAATAAGAGAATGCAAGACGCTAATTTACATAATGTGTCATGTCTCATTTACATGAAATCATCTCACCGTGCTGCCATATAGAGAATGCCGCTTATACTTACTGAACGAAACATCCATGTTTAATGTTATTTATTTATTTATATATTTTATTTTACCGCATCATAGCATATAGCATGAAGCGATACCCATGAAAATGTACGAGTATCTATCGATAAATTATATGTTATTAATAACTGTAAACAATAATAAGGTTATGGATTCGGTCGCGATAACGCGAGCGAATGCATGCGATTAAGACTGTGATTGCGAAAAGTAAGCGGCGAGGATGGGGCGTGGCGTTTGAGCCAAGCGACAACAAGCCAGAGGTAGAATGCAACAAATAATTATAAAAAATATTGCTTTATTACTGTTAAAGATAGATAGTCACATAGAAGCAGTTAATTAACAACAGTAAATGGAAAATAACATGCTTATTAAAAAATGACACCAAAAATTAACACCTGTGGGGTGTGTCTTAATAAATAAAAATTATTGGTTCCGTGGTCACGCACGCGACAATAATAATAGCCACCTGCCAGTGGTTGTCATGTCAGCAGGTGCAACTAATTAAGATGGTCTGAGAACTTAATTGGAAAAAATATGTACCTACTTCTATTGTGTAATATTTAATGATTACTTACATGACATATTGACTGAATACATTGTGAAGAGTTGAAGACAGATTGCTATTAATTAAAAAAAGAAAATAGGTACTAGAAATAATAATAACCTATGTGATTTCAATTGAGCCGATTTATTACATTACCAGCGAGTGTCAATTTAGTTTGAGATTTTGTTTAATTTGTACACAGTATAACAGTTAAGTATGCAGTCTAAACTGTTGTTTACCTCTGGCTTGATGTTCCCTTCGTCCAAATACTTCTAACTAGACAAGCTGTTCAGAATAAAAATTATGTCACACCGCAGACCTAAAATAACTCATTTACGTAAACGAAATTCGCACGTAATCTATGAAGCTTGAACATTTTAATAGTCTTCATTCTCATTAAATTATGTAAATGCAGTTTGGCGAACATACTTTGTGAGCAGTTTGCAGTCGAGTTCAGTCGACTAGATGAGCTTGTGATAGCAGTGACAAACATAGTGCGCATTATCTCAGTTCTGAACAGCATGTCTAGAGCTACGGACGACAGCACATCAGGCTAAATATTGTGTATCTTATGTTGCAATAAAGGCTGAGTTGCACCATGTTGCTTTAATAGTAACTATAACCATAACCGGTGATTTTTGTATGGAGATTATTACGTTTGTTAAAGTTAAAGTACGATGATTCAACTTAGCTCTAAGTGCAACAAAAATGTATAGAATAATTTATTGAAGATTGCTACCATGTACCTTAATTTCGACTCTCCGATATTTCGGCACTGTTGCAAGCGCCATATCACGGAGTAACAAACATGGTAGATGGCAGCAATCCCGTCAATAATATTTTATTATGTTAGTGACCATGAAAGTTTAAAAAAATGTATAGTCTGTGATGTGCTGTCAACTGTGAATGGAAGTCGCCCGCATCCCGCTCGATCCCGGCTGACGGCTGCTGTTGCACGAAGGGTGTCGCTAATCTTCGGCGTGATCACGATGCTGTCGGGGCTGCTGGGCGTGCCGCTGGGCGCGTGGCTGGGCACGTCGCTGGTGAAGCGCTTCCCGCGCGCGCACCCCGTCATCTGCGGCGCCGGCCTGCTACTGTCCGCGCCCGCCATGGGGCTCGGCATGCTCCTCGCCGACGGCAGCTTCTACGCACCCTTCGCCCTCATGTTCATTGGCGAAGTCGCTTTGAATCTCAACTGGGCAATAGTGGCCGATATGTCGCTGGTAAGACGCTGACCGCGCGCCCCGTTTCGACGGGCGAACGTTTTTTGTTTTTTTCGTTTTCCTTTGTTGCATTTCGCTTAGTTGTGGTGGACGTTGCATGATTAGCATGATCATTTTGTAGTTTGTGTTTTTTCGTTACCGCTTCCTTCGCATGAATTGAATTCAGTCACCCATTAGCGCATATTCATGGCTCACTATTGCCTAGTACTGAGACCGTACCGATAATCTAGTTTCTCCCTGTTGTTCTCATTGGAATATTGTAGATTACGATCTTCGTAAGTTTGCGAAACTCGGGCCGAGAGGACTGAATTCAATTATTCTAAAAATAGCGACATCTGTTGGCATGTCCACTAAATACGTTGTTTGACTTGTCTGAGTTCTGATAGCTTTTGCAATGTAGGGAATGATATGCAAATATTGGTACAGATGGCGCTAGTGTGAATAAAGCGCGCCAAAGTTTGAAATATTTTTTTTACTTAACCCGTCCTTGTCCTCAACAAATTCTATTGCATGTGAAAAGGATAATACTAGCCTACTAATTTTCTTCTACATTATTTTTTGGGAATACCTATAAGGTAAAATATTAAAAACAAGTGAAACTTTGCCAAATCTATCATCATGTTTTTGATACGGTATTTTTATTTATTCAATAAATACCTAGGTACTACTATCAGATATCAGACGGTGTTTTTACATGTATGGTATGGTGGGGTAATATAAAATATATCTCTTTTACTTTAAAAAGTCGTTTTAAAACTTATAATTTGTTTTCCAGTATGTTGTCATCCCGCCTCGTCGGTCTACTGCGGAGGCTTTCCAGATATTAATATCGCATATGTTAGGTGATGCTGGCAGCCCATACTTAGTTGGTGTGGTAAGTAATTTGGATTTAAACTGTAATATCTATTGGCAACATAATGTTACAAAAATGTTTCTTAAGAAATTCTCCCTGGCAATTGAGTAAAGTAACCTTCCCTGTTACTAAATTACCTTCACTGGATGGACAGGACTTCACATGCCGGTGAATACATTTGTGTTAAAGGGTTGTTGAGTTCCTTTATTTGTTGCTAACGAATTGTATCTTTTGCAGATTTCGGAGAGTCTAAAGCGGTCTCTGTCAATGACATACCTGGAACCGCCCACAGAAAGCGTCCAGTTCCGAGCGCTACAATACGCTCTGTTCACCACCTGCTTCGTCGAAGTCATAGGAGGAGTGTTCTTCCTCCTCACAGCTATTTACATCGTCAGGGACAAGCGCAGAGTTGACAGAGCGATTGCAGGTAACTTAATACTCATCGAAAACATTATCTAACCACAAAACATTATCACGCTTGTTTATAGCTTGTGTCGCATGTTTTGTTACTTCTCTTATAATATTTCAAACTCAGCATGAGCTATCGAAGCGTAACTACACTATAATACAACATAAAGGTCCTATTTAGAAACTTTGTTTTCTCGAGTATGATGCACCTAGACAGCTTTTTCAATCACGAACAACTCACATTATTTAGGCTATTATGATAAACTCTACTTGAAAGCCTATTCACATTGTTTCAGTTTCGTTCGCAAAAGTTATTTAGTCCGTAGGTGAGTTGCTTATAAAAACAATAAGCTTGTTGTGCACGGACTCTGCTAAGATTTACTATTATAAGTTTAGTACTCATATAGCCTGTTTTTGTTTGCAGAAGCCGAGGCACAAACAGCGGAACCGTCACACAGCTCAGCGCAAGAGGAAAACGCAAGCAACTAAAGCATTTCAAGTATTTCGTCGTTCAGACATGTGGGAACTGCACACGCACGCGCGGGAGAAGAATCTGATGTTTCAGTCGCATAACTGTAACAGACATGTTCTCTACCAACATTATTGATTTATTGATGAACGATCAACCTATCGGGAACAAGTCATAGTTACTGGTTACGTATGTAGTTGATTGTGAATATTTACGAAGACTGATATTTGAAAAGCATTGTACGGCGTTGGGCGGGTTATGATGAATGGTGATTGTGTGAAGTAACAATTAATTTAAATTTTATGTAAGGGTTTAGGAACTAGGCATCACAGTCCTACTGTTACCTATTTAGATAAGAAGTGCCTACAAATTATGTAATACATGATTTTAATGACTAGCGTAGGGAAGGCGTGACGCATATCAGGCACATTCGGTCCTCTGAACAATTATTGAAGTACAGAAATTTCAGGAATTGTATGCTGTTGCCAATAGTATTTGTTTTTTTCTGCAAATTTAATTAATTCGATTTATTTATGTTGATTTATTATTTTATCATTTATCTTTTTTTTTATTAATTTTGATTGCAATATTAACGTCAAATTATAATAATTTCCTAGATTACTTTTTGAATAACTCTTAAGAAATATTCATACAGTTTAACAAATAAATATTTATAAACAATTCGGTCAAGGTTCCTATGAGTGTCTAAAATAATTGTACTAAGTAACTACTACTTAAATTGTTAATCAGTACTAAAATACTAATAAATGAATGAACGAATTCGATGGTGGTACATATTCATTTACTGAATTTGACTGAAAGAGGCAACTTAATCTAAATTGTGCTAATTCGAAAATCTAGATTTTGTAGTTAAACTGTATTGAATATGAGTCAAGACTGAATTATGTAATGTTTGCCTAGATTATTTTATGTAATGATATAAATTACAATTTGTTTTGTAAATATCGTGTATAGTGTCAAGGAATTGAAAGAAAATATAATTTATTTTTAATTAATAAGCATTTGTCTCATTTATTGAATTCGGACATAGTTAACACTCGAACTTAAACCTAAAAAAACTCAGTTTTCAAAGCGGTGGGATTAAAAATCTCACAATTGAGGTAAATATTAAACAATAATTCTCAGACACGAGAATGTAGTCAATAATAACAATTGAACAAGAACAAAGAAATTGAATATGGTTTTCTCATTCATATTACAATTTATAATCAACAATAAAAATATTTAAAATGTAATTCTTAGAAGTACGTAATGACAACATTCAATCTGCAACATTAATAAAATTCACAATTGTTACAATATCACATTGCTTGCATAATCAACTTTTAAAATGCACTGTGGAAATTCAGATTCATCAAATACTGGGCTAAAACTATTCATTAAAAACTAATTTAAGATAACAATCAGGTAACCATGTCTAACGACTTAACATAATGACATTGATTCAACTAGACTTAAAATTAAAGCAGTCTCAAAGTAAGCTGCTGTGATAAAATAGAGTAGTATCAATAATCATTTTATGTAGTAATTTCTACTGACTGGCAGTGTAAAATACCCATAAAGGGATAGACACATTTTAAATCTACTACTAAAATAACTTTGTTAGCAGCATTGAAATGGACAAAATGTCGACACTCGACCTTAGAAAGCAAAAATAATTATTAATGAAAAAAAAAATTCACATAAATCAAAGAATAGTGCAATCTTCACTGAAATTTAAAATAATCAAAGCTTTATCTATGATTTTTGTAAGACATTGTAAGTATCGGGTCTTAAAATTCGGTACACATTTGTTAAGTTTACGAAAATGCAACATGTATTTTCGTTATTGGGATCCAGTTTCAGTCTAATCATTCAAGAATATTTATCAATTCTTTTATAACTGTCAAGTTCAAAGTAGAATTAAATCAAGTCATTTCAAATGCTTGTGAACAAGAATTAGATAATTATTATTCCGAACAGTAGCTGTTGGCTGAGCTAGTGTCATCACATCTCTCCGAGTATATAGCTACCCTGAATCTCTTGGGGATGGGTTCAGAGGAGCTGAAGCTATCACTCAGGGCTCGTTTGTTAGCTGCTACCAGCCTTATCACAGTAACATTGTTAACATTATTGTTGCTGTAATTTTCTTCATCAGATGTGGATGATATTGTCAGTGCATTAAAACTTTTCATTTGAGCAACATTTGACAGCATTTTCTCTACTCGTATTATCACATCTGCATCCTAGAAAGGAATAAAGACAGAAAAATTGTAAAACATGTTCACCATTCCATGAATTCCATGTAAGCAAAAAACATAATTCATACCCTACAATGAACCAATACAGGAATAGATTAATATGTTACCTGCATCCAAGCATGGTTGAGAATTTGATCAAGTGTAATTCTTCTATCAACTTGAACAGTGAGCATTCTTTTCATTAGAAGTTTGGCCTGCAAACTTATATTCTTCCAGTGTGATGGCGAGAAACAATACTTTCCAGTCAGTATCTGTTCCCTCAGTGATAAATCTTTGTATTCTGAAGAGAATGGCAAATAACCCACAAGGCTAAAAAAAAGAATGATTAATTAAAAATTTGTCTTCATTGGTCTTCTTAAAGCCCAATAAAATCAAACCAAAAGCATAATATACTCACCACACGAAAAATATCACTCCCAAGCTCCACACATCAACTTCAGGGCCATAGCATTTTTGGCCATTTGCTTTCAGAACTTCTGGGGCCAAGTAAAGAGGGGTCCCACACATGGTCTTCATGAAACTATCTTCTCCAACGAATTTGCTTAAGCCAAAGTCAGTTATTTTGACTAGTGTCTCATCATGCTTACTCTCCAATAGCACATTCTCAGGCTAAAAAAATTATAGTTTTAAAAATGAAAGCTTCATAATAATAGATTGTAAACATTGGATTTCTACTGTAGTATGGATGATTAATGAGTCTCAGCATCCTCAAAATTATTAACATAATAATCACATTACATTGCTAGGGATATTTATGTTTCTTTGTCAATGTTAATTGCAGTAATAACAGACTTACTTTTAGGTCTCTGTGAGTGATGCCTTGAGAGTGCAGGTACTTGACAGCCAGTACCATTTGTCGGAAGAGGAACCGAGTCAGACATTCAGATAAGTGTCCTTGTTTGGTAATTCTGTCAAAAAGTTCTCCTCCTTGCATTAGCTCCAGGACAATATACACTGTATCTTTGGAATCAAATACCTCTTCAGTTGAAATAATACATGGCTGAAAAATAACATTATTGACAATTCTGGCATAATTATTTACAATAATTGATTATGTAGACTATTATACATTGAATGACTTACATGCCGTAATGCTTTCATAATTATGATTTCATTCATAATTTTTTCTGGGTCATTTAAATGATTCATTTGTCCATTTGTCAATCTGCTCTTTTTTATTATTTTCATTGCATGTTTAGTGCACCGTGTCTATAACATAATAACATTTTGAGTAATTACCCATAATTCCCATATTATCTCCTTTATGTCCATATCTAGTAAAGCTTGCAAAGTAAAGCAAAGAATTATTACAAAAATAAAACTGCTACTTAACTTACTTTATCGTAAACTAATTTGACAATTCCACAAGCTCCTTGGCCCAGTGTCCTTGAAATGTAGTATTTTTGTGATATCTCCTTAGGAACTTGATCTTGTTCATTTTTTAGCAAGTCCTTGAATACGAACACTGAAAAAATACTCAAATAAACTTTGTGGTTTGAACAACGGAACTAAAGATATCTTAGAACATATTTTACCTTTAACAAATGTGTGTGTGATGGCTATTTCATCATTGTCATCTAACACTCTGCTATTTCCTTTTCCAATATTTTCCCCATTTATAAAAGTCCCATTGTGTGACAAATCTGTTATTATTGCTGGACACAGTGGTTCCCTATAAACAGTATAATTTTAAGTTTAATTAAGTATTGAAATTTTGTCTACTAAAAAATCATTTCATGAATACTTACGAAAGATTTCTTTTTATGATAAATTGTTGTTTGCTGACACTTTTTATGATGTTGTCTTTTACAATATTCTTTTTTATCACAAAGTTGCAGTTCAAAGATCTACCTAAGGAGAACTCCGGTTGGATTAAGTCTGAAACACAGATTTACAGATGAACTTTTGTTCAAGTGAAAAACAGATGTAAAACAATGTCCAAAACGATTAAATAACTTACCTATGTATTCAGGATTATTGCTAGCATTCCAACAATATTTACCACTCGAGGTTGGTTTTGTTGGGTGTAATCTTCCCCAAATGTTTGGTATAAATGCTGGAGTATTATTTTGGCTCCATTGTAGTTGAGAATTTTGAGTTTGTGTTTGAGTATTATCAGTTTCATCCCCCATTTTCGTCCGACAAGTAGTTTCTTAATATCTAAATAACACTATGAGCTCTGTTATATGGAAATTCACTTCTTTTGACCAAAAAACACGCTGCACCGGTTGTTTTGGCAGGTAGACAACAAACTTTTTTGTTCTTTTGGAACTTTTGGTAGAAAGCTTTCAACTTGAGTTTCTCACTCTCACAAACAAAGTTTTGAGCTCAGTCATTGGCCAGAAATCCACAGGAATATTTTACAAAGTCATAATTCTTGTTGTTATTGGCCAATAGTGGACGCAAACAGTTTTTCTATTGGTCAACGTACTATGAGGAGAACGCTAATAACTACCGGAAACGGAGTTACCACCACTGTAACATTAGCTGTCAAATATTTTTTTTAATTTGCAAGAGTCGAGCAAGAGAATACAGACCAAAATGGTTTGTTTTCTTGTGTTTATCATAGATGGCGTTAAGGCTCTCCTTCGCGTCGTTAATATAGGAAAACGAAGCCATGAATCTAGTGAAATAATATGGTCATGACCATATAAAATCGGTTTTAAGCTGTCCTGCTACTGTACTGAGTCTACTGAGGGCAGGGCCGGATTAACCATCTCGGGGCCCCTAGGCACAGCTTGTTTTGGGCCCCCCTTTTTTTTGTCGCGGAGGAAATGCTTTGCGCACCGTCACCACTGCCAGTGGACAGGGTGGTGTGTGGGACTCCCGGCGCCCTAAAAAGGGAAAAGGACGGGGTATACCCACTAAAACCTCCGCGGCGTTCCGTCGTAGCCCNATGCTTAACATATAATGCTTAACTACTATAAACAGAGTGTTTATCGTACCTTTTTTATAATAAAAGTGATTCCCACCAATTTACTGTCGTCTATAATAAAATCTTTAAATAAATAAATGAAATTTACTGAAGATGAAGATGCATGAATAAATAGTGTTTTAATACGTACATGATCTTTAAGTATAACTATACCTAGGAGAAATATGCAAATATTTACTTATTTGCATATTTCTCCCTCAAAGACAAAATACCTTGGCGAGGACTAGGGAGGTAAGTGCGCAAAACGTCTCAAGTTTTTGGCCAAAGCAGAAGCACTCTATGTAATATGTATCTTCTACATATTATTGTGAAAATACTTTGCCAATTGGCCATTTATTGAAATGGTCAGCATTTTCTATTGCTATCTCGCGACTATTTCCAATATACGTACATACACATACCTAAGTATGAAATATAAAACACTAAAATTCTAATCTACGAGTAGGTGTACCTACCTACTGTATGAGAAAATGAGAAGACACGCAAAGACTAAATATACGTAACATAATATCCTCACGTGGCGTGGATAACACTCCATGTGACCAATGTCACTACGTTAATTAAAAGTTATGAGTCGGTGGTACAGGGCATCCAATCTAAAAAAAATATGATTTATTTTTTATCTAAAGAATTTAAAAGGTTTACCTACTTACGACTTGTCATAGCAGATATAACTTATTAGTCAGTAGGATTAATCCTATACGCATGGATTGGATTGCCTTTTTATAAGCTCCTCTTAGTATAAATAGCAGACTGCGGACCGCTCCAACCTACGAGAATAAACAATTATCTTCACAATTCTTCCCGGTGAACCAGTCTCATCTATTCATGAAAACCGTAATCCCCGCAGTAGTTTCCGAGATTAGACAATAAAGGCAAGATGACAAAGAATCGCAGCGGGGGATTTCAATTTACTTATTAATTTACTTGCGGTGATGGTATTTTGCTACCTATTGCAAACATTCAACAAAAACATAAGTAAATGCTACTATTTTAGGATTTGCTATTATTTTCAGATATTTTGTGATTTAATGCAATTATGAATACTTACATAAGTAGGTACCTAACTAATTAACTACTGATCTTTATAGCACGCACGATAGCGTCTGTGTTGTTAATTGGCTTCCGTCTGACTAGGCGTTCTTAGGATAACCGCAAAAATTCCTTGTCTGTTGTTGCCTCGTTACACAAGAAGAAATATTTACTTTGTAATAAGAAAATAATTTGTTTACCTAAGAAGCTACGCCATTGAAATGATTCTAACCCGCTGAGAAAACGACATAATCATCTTTTGGTTTATACTGATACTCATGCCAGCTAATTTGAAATAATAACTGTAATACCTACCTACCTTATATGGGACGTGGAATTTCGTACGCAAGTAGGGAGAAATGTTTAAAATGCTATAAAAAATTTGAAAAAAATCGCACCCCATTTTTCTGAAATAATCAAATGTGAACTTTGCTAACTATTTAGTAAATATTGAATTTTGACTTGCTACTTATTCCTCGAAATTGCATAATATAACTTAACTCTATATTGTAGTAAGTAGGTAGTAGTAATGTAGAAATGAACCATAGAGCTGCAGCCTGCCTATTCTAAGTCAAGGAAAATAAAATTGTACTTAAGTTCAAGGAAGGTGAAAGAGTTTATTAACTTCTGCCGAGGTTCATGTTGCTGCTGTCGCCTGAGACCACTAAGACCAGCGTAACTGCGCCCGGGATGCTGCAAATGACTGTAATATACAAGACAAAGATACGGTATACTTACTTAATGGTAGACATGCACGTAAATGTAGGTTACTAGATCATGCTGAAATAAAGGACAATAAAGTCTGTTTTGACTAAACAAACAATACATTTGGGTATTTGTAACCATCGCCCGTTTTTGTAACAGTACTGTAGGGAACATACAAAATTTGTATGTTCTCAAAAGACAATTCATTAATGTCTTAAAGGAGGAGGCTATACGAAAGTACGCTTGAAGAGTTTCCTAAGCCTTAAAATTAACTTATACTCGTATTTACCACCGGTTGACCGGTATTATCGCTGCATTACCGGGGTACTTTTGTTTTATATTTTATTACCTGTATACTCGCTCCAATTGATCAAATAAATGAACAAAGGAGTTCACATTTGACGGACAAGAATTGGAAATTGGCTTGTCTTGATGCCCTTGTTCGATCGGAGAATTATAAGGGTGAATTTTTGGAAAGGTCATGTCATGTACCTACTTACGGGCAATTACCGAACAATATTCTTAACTTGCTTATTTATGTGATCATTCATCTTTCATCTTTATAGTTTTGAAGGTTCTATTTGCAATATACCTAAGTATCATATTAGATCTCTGAAAAAACAAATGCATACATCTAGTCAGTACAATACAGAATTAAGTATACTCCTATGAATATAAATCTATATTATATGAATATGAGTAAGTAAGTATCTGTTTCATTCCCCGCAGGCTGATCGTGGTTCCATTATGTTAATGCTTTTAACACTGTCTTGTAACTCTCAATTTGCCTAATGTTTCTGTACATTTAGATAGCAGCTACCTATTAATTAAAAGATTAATTTGTAGGCAAACTAAATAAATTGTGAAAAGATATTCATACGGATTATACACTTGCCTTTTGTTTTGTGATCTCTTATTAGATCCTTTGTGATTAGAATATCTTCTATAATATAAAAATGAATCGCAAAATGTGTTGGTAAGCGCATAACTCAACAACGCCTGGACCAATTTTACCAATTCTTTTTTTTAAATGTTTGTTGAAGTCCAAGGATGGTTTTTACAGCGAGAAAAGTTTGAATAATTTCCGGGTAAACCCTGAAAAACTCGAAACTTCACCCCTAAGGGTAAAACGGAGTCCACGCGTACGAAGTCGCGGGCGGCCGCTAGTTAGTAATAAAAGTACCTATCAATCAACCAACCGTTTGAGCTCACGTGCGTCCACACACACCATAAATCATTATGGTTAGCTTAAATTAAAGATCGTCGGACTGAAAAAATCTTAAAATGGTTTAACTTATCATATTTTTGGCTTATATTTACCCGACTGCGCCAGAAGGAGGGTTATGTTTTCGAGTGTATGTATGTTTTTCATTGAACAGAAAGTGTAGAGTTAATTTTAACTTCAAACCCTTTTTAATTAAATACATTAATTACCAATACCTGTTAGGTACCTACTTAAATAAATAATGTCGAAACTATATAACTATTTATCACCATTAACCAATACACAGGAAATTAAGCCATCGCCCCTCGGACCGGTAAAAGCATGGAGTGTTAATTCAATAACAATGAACATTATTTTCAGTCATGAAATCTGAAAGAGCTATTCATTAGCAAGTTTTCTTGGCCGACTTTGGCTAATGAGTTTAGTAACATAAATCCAGGATTATTTTAGCTATTTTAGATATTGTTGCAGAAATAATATCTATTACAAACCTACTTACCCGACTAATAAAAAAATACATCACAATCATCTGGTAATAACGTACTATGCTGTAAAAGCTTCACAGGGACTATTTAAAGTTTTAACTTAAAGCCTTATTTTTTATTTATATTGAAAGCAAATAAACACGTATAGATGCATGGTCCTTCGTCGTGCAAAATAAGATTAACTCTCAAAGGGCCCACATTACTATAGTTTATACTGTTATGGGGAACGCGCCACTAACCTTGAGTCTCCATTAACTTCATTACGGGAAAAGAAACAGGGGATATGTTTTTTATGTTTATGGCGCTTTGATATTCACTTCCTGTGGTTATCTTGTGGGACAAAACACATCCACCTCTGGGACATGTAATACCCTAAAAGTTTTGATTTACAGTAAGTATTTTTACAACAAAATGACGGCTCTACCTAAAGCCTACCAATCAATCAGTCATTTAGTAGGCTAAGGACGTTAAGGGATATTGTATTTTTAGGATAAGTATCCACTTAAATAAGGTAAAGATAGTAATATTAAAATTGCATATACGTAACCACGTTTCCTTAGGGATTTCTTCAAGGTTCACGCGTAATTTTGCAGCCGTTCGCGTAATCTGTATTCGGTGGCTTACTGGTTTTACTAACTGGCTCAATGGCGCCATTTGTGTTGCTAATGTTATCCTGCCTTTTATGCTGGTTACCCAAGGTGATTGGATCATTTGCATTTATAGTAAAACGGTGCAAGATAAATTGTTTTTAAATTAATCAATTTTAGTTTCGTATTTACCTATATCGCATTTTAATCTAAAAAGTTTTAGGTATTGTACCTATGTCAGTATGAAATAGTAATTCTTCGCAATAAAGATCTATCTACTTAACATACCTGTATATTTTTGTATTCTCTCATAATATGTGCAGGTGTATGTATCTACTCTACTTAAAAATGTGAGTTCAAGAAATGCCAAATATCAAAGGAAATCTTCCAGCGGAAATACACACATGTCTTTGAAAGCTCTCGTCACAATTTAAGTACCTACCAACTATCTATTGAATCAGCTAGCTTGCAAGCTTCGTTGCACAATATTTGCAATTATCGTTAGTGGCATGAGATCACATTGCTATTAATGGATCAGAAAGATATCAGGAAGCAGTGTCTGTACAACAGGAACCTTATAATTAAAAAAAGATTGAAAACCTCCTTTTCTCGAAGTCGGTTAAATATATCCATAATAAACTACATAGTATTATTTACAAGATAAAAATAATGTCAACCCAAGCGCTGTCATCTGTAATAGTGCCCAAAGACCTAGTAGCATTGCCATTAAACCTAAATTATTTGTCACTTTAAAATCTATCCCTACCTAATCCACTACTATCCATCCATCAGACTGAATTAACTCACTCAATGACAGGTAAATAGACTATTCGGTGTCCATATTAGAATGAGCTTATTTTTGCAAGAATAAATACATACTTACTATGTCATAGTCTATTGGAGGAACTATTCCGTCAGCTGAACAAAGCCTTCTGCAACGACTGTAAGATGTAAGAGGTCGACAAAGCGTACTTCAAGTGGTAAGTCGTCGGAGAATAAGAATGCGGTATTCTCTCTTATTCTTTATTTCCTTACATTGCCTTACTTTTAAATATAAAAATATTCCAAAATAGATCTTGTTGCAATGATTATGGAGCACTACCTAGTTTACCTCGTGATTATATGGAGATTACCTAATTTACCTAGATTAATTCTCGTAGGTAGTAGTAAGATAAACTCTCTTCATTTCAGAAAATCTAATTTAATAATGGCAGACCGCTAAGTGAGACCACTAAACATCGTAGAACGGTGTTTCGACAAATGAATTTGTTTAGGATTAGAAAAATTAAACCTTTAAACCCTTATTTGGTGTAATTGTCTTAAAAAGAAATTGAGCGAAAACATTTAAACATACTCGTAGTAGTTAATATAACTCTTCAACAAAATTAGGTTCAAGTTGTGTATCAGTCGTGTACTACCTTTTTTTGGTTTTCTTCTGGGAATAAATAAAACTACAGATTTAGACAAACAATTAGTTTTATTCATTGATAACTTCGTTTAAATCAATGTCTTTAAACGTTATAACGCTTATCTATAATGACAATCCATATCATCATCTATTTTTTAGGTATTATGGTATGATAATACTTTACGACGTTTATTATAATATATTTTACTACATTTTCTAGGATGTGTGCTAGTTATACATAACATTAGATTAATAAAATATTTTCTTTTCTTTTAGTACTTACAGAAACTGATATTAAAATTAAAAATACTTATAAGGCAGTTAAATAGTTAATTCGTGTAACAAAAATGAACTTCTTGAACTGGAAAATTGTATTGAATATAAGTGAAAGTATAGCGTGAAACTCTATAATAACTAACCGTGAGTCTAATTAGGTCTATACAAATATGTACGTGTCGTAGAGTAAGATTACTTACTATTNTTGAGTAATATTACTTATTATCATAATTTAAACCCTACACAAATACTTTAATTGTTAAGCGAGAGAAGTCTTTCATGAGGTTGAGTAGAGAAAATTTCTTGGGTAGAGTTTTAAGTCAATTTATTTACACAATTAATACACATATTGGTATAAGAAACTTAATTACCGATTATAAAATAAGAGATCTTTGTGTTGCGAATTGAAATTGTTGAACTGTCGCATGATTATTGCTAGTTTCAATAAGTAGAAAATAACCAAGCACTAAGTTTATTGAAGAACAAGGTTGAGGAATCAATTGCAGTCCTGACTAGCTGAACGAAAACAATCCGCTATTGTGGAGTGAGCTGGGGTCGTCGAGGCGTTCACTTGCGGAAGCACGAGATGGGGTTGAAGTAGCACTGGCGGAAGCGCACCTGGCGCTTGTCGGCCCGCCAGGGGCGCGCCAGCCGCCCGTCCAGCGTCCGCAGGCCCCAGCCGCGCGGCTCCGCCTGTGGCCACGAGCGGCTCACGCGGCTCATCCTGGAGACATTGAAATAGTAAAACTACCATTACAACATTATGTAGAGCATTCGCGTTGAAAGAGTGAAATAATAAAACTAAAATGGACTCAATCAGAGTCTGTGTCCTTGTGTCATTTCAAGAAATAAATTAATAGATTCATTATCGTTACATATTTGACTCAATTTGATAGAAACATTGAAAGCTTCTGCGCGGATTGGAGCGGACTTTACATTGTACTTATAATGTATCAGGCTTCCCCAACCTGGCCACAGTGTGTAGTGTGTATTTGCCTCTGGTTAATTAGAGGGTGCTTCTGTAATGAAAACTAAACGACCTGATAATGATGTAGCGGCTACAATACAGATTATGCACCGCAAATAATTTGAAGGGTTCTGATTTCACTTCATGTATTTTTATTCACTGATTCGTGAGTTAAACGAATTGGCTGCCATTATATTTAATACTAGCAGCCGCCCAGACTTCGTACGCGTGGATCCCGTTTTACCCCCTTCATGTATCTTACGGGGTTTAGATATTTTCATACAAATGTTTTTCCCGCTAACTCCCGTTCCCGTGGGAATTTTGCAATATCCTGTTGTAACTAAGCTTTAAGTTTACTAAAATACCTGCATGCCAAATTTCAAGCGTCTAACTTAAGCGGTTTAGATTTTTTCATACAAATGTTTTTTCCCGCTAACTCCCGTTCCCGTGGGAATTTTGCAATATCCTGTTGTAAATAAGCTTTAATTTTACTAAGATACCTGCATGCCAAATTTCAAGCGTCTAACTTAAGCGGTTAGTTTTTGAGTAGTTTTTGTTTCTATAAGGAACATACAGACAGACAGACAGACAAAAATTTTACTGATTGCATTTTTGGCATCAGTATCGATCACTAATCACCCCCTGATAGTTATTTTGAAAATATATTTCATGTACAGAATTGACCTCTCTACAGATTTGTTATAAGTATAGATATAGATAAATCTAGAGTGTAAGCAAATTAGAGGAAAGGAAACTAAAAAGCTGAACTTTACCTTAATTAGTTTGAATTAGGTAACATGTTGTGCAATAAAAACATGAGTATAGCGCTTTCGCTACTACACAGCACCGTGCAAATGAAGGATTGTTCTACTTTGTTGTCCGAGTGTTACATACGAGTACCTTCGTAATATTTTATCTATTTTTAATAATAAATAGTCATAATATCATTATAATTATCTATTTATGCGAAAATTCCATTGTAGTATTTTTACTTGTGTATTTTAATTATCTTGGTTAAAGGCTAATTTAAAAATATTAAGCTGTAGGAATCACGGTAGTCTTCCCTAGAAGTGGTTTTATCAGGTGAATTCATACCTTTAATGCATCTGATGGTACACCTGACTCATTATTGAATGTCAAAAACAAAATATGTTTATGTAGAAAATTAATTAAAAGCTCCGCACCAAAGTTATTATTTATCAAAGGACACGTTTAAATTTATGAACTATGAGCATAGCGGAACAAACCCGAATGAAACTCGTTAAAATTGAAATCGCACGTAGTTTGCAATCCGTACAACGGCCTCGAATGTTCCCGGCCCTTGTAAGTTAATTATGGAACCAATCGTGCTTTAGTTTTACTACGAATATGAATTTGTATAGCTATTATACGTATTTAATAATTATTATTATAATGTTAGTAATTTGATCGACATTTTCTACGAAGGTACCTTCCCTAGTTGGCGAAAGTTGGTACACAGGTACATGGATCGTAATCAAGAAAGCTTTCATGTACACTATCTCAAACGTAACAATATTTCAAGCTTTGTGATTGTAATCTCACGTGACATATATCTAGTAGCACAGTCTTAGTTTTTGGATTCTTTAAATGTTTATTTTCATGATAATCACAAGTTTAATGATTCCGATTTCGCTGTAACCTATAAAATCTTTATACGAAACCAAATAAAAGTTCTTTTCTAATTTTGCATCTATCCACAAAATAGAAACTGGATTCTGCGAATATCGCATATTCTCTGTATCTGCATGTACCAAACAAAGAGCGGCTTAGCCTTCGTTAGAGTGCTTTCTTAAAGTGACTGAAAACCCTTTTGTTTTATGTTGTCGATCCCATAAAACTTTTACCCTTACAAGTTTATAGCTGCACTTAAGACACCGTGGGTATTTTATTGTATACAGTTCTGAAATACTTGTGTCGCCATTTATTATGTAGATTTTCGTAAAGTTTTTTCTCCCTAGTGAATAGAAAAGTAGAACATAGCTGTAGACTAGGACTCTAAATGACTGGTTAAATAAGGTAAAACGATAGACACGTCACCAATTATTCAAGTTCGGCAGTTTCCCAACTAAGATAAATAAACTGTCCAGTAGGTAGACAGATAAATTAGGCTGAAAGTAAGGCACAAGGCACACTGTCTAGTTAGTTTGTAATTGTGCCACCTCCGGCTCCGGAGCTAATCACAGAGCCAGTTTAACCGAGGTGTCAGCTTCGCTACTGTCAACTCGGGCTCCCACCACTGTACTTACAGGTATTATTAACTGCACTATGTACAATTTACTAAAATTGGTTACGAATGCCGTAGCTATTTGTTAATACGCACTTGGAAATAAACAAGTGGTGTTTGGGGAATGTTGGTGTAATATTTTTTCATTACAAATTATTATAAGTAGCCTAAAATATTTATTTTGATAACTTAATAATCTATTTGAAGTTTCAACTTCATAAAAGTCGGCGAGTGAATGCATGCAAGGGTAATCTCTTCACTTTTATACCTATGCGTACCTCTTAAGGGATGATTTGATTTTGGGTGACCCTTCGTATCCTTTTTTGTACTTTAAGGATCCAGCCAGTAGGTAATATAGTGGTTCTTCGTCGCAATATCTCAGTAAATATTACTACAGATTGTAAATAAAATGACTGTGCTACGAAACGTAGCGAATTTCGTAGCATCTCGTAGCTACGAGTACAATCTCGTAGCGAGCAATGTAGCTGCATTGCTACGAATATAATATCGAAGATATTGAATATAATATCAATTTCAGTCTATGAATGATTCAGTTTATAAAATTTTGTATTTTTAACAGATCTAAATAGAGGGAGGATATTCAGTAAGTGTTTTTGACACCGTTTTGTGGTTAAAAATAAAAAATACGTAAATAAAGTAACTCCAAATAAGTTATTTAGAAGCATATTAAACCTACCTTCGTGAAAGAATAATCATTTGTAATTTCGTTAAAGCAGGGTTTCCAGAGGAAACTAACAAGCCATATAATACCATATAATGTACTAATACCAGCAGTTAAACCGTTGTAACAAATGCAGTTAGTTGCCCCAAGCTACACCCCAAGCGTGCGATTTTGTAGTAAGCTGGTATGAGCCAAGGGACTTAGTGCACATTGATAAACGCATCCAAAATTAAGTCTTGAACTAAAATGCTTATTAACAAAATCCAACCTAAATCTAGCTCTCGCCTATATGTGTAAGAAGCTCAACTATCTGTATACTGGATGATAAGTAGATAAAACTGTGTAAAGTCGTGCATAGAGAAGACGTTTTGTAGTAATATACAAGTAGAATAATATTCAAATAACTTACAGACGTGAAACTTCTTTAACAAAAACAATCTAAAGTTTAGTTGTTAGCAAAATCAGGATCGGTTTATAAGTTCTCGCCGGCTGCGTGGAGGGTATAATCGGACTGTACATGTAAGTAGGTGTCACCTCCAGTATTAGCTAAGTAGAAGTTCTAACGGTAACAACCTTACCGTCGTCCGTTAAAACCGTCTTAACATACGTTTGTTACTTTATGTCATCGAGTCTTTAGAAGCATTCTGCTGTAAATTGGTTTATCTGTGGGATCACTCTTTCCAATCTGCGTAAAGAAAGCTAATGGATACATTTACTTTATGTGTAACACAAGAAATTACGTGTAATACCTACGTATGAATCAGTCCCAGTGCGAATCAGATTTTCATATTAAGGGTTCCGTAAAAATACCCATGAACACATTTATGTTTATTTTTTCTCATATCGGCCATTGTGTGAAAATTTCAAGTCTCTACTTAATATTTTTACATAAGTAGACAGACGGTAAAATGGTCAGACATTGGACTCTTAGAAAAGGGTACTTTGGCTTAGTTACCTACGGAACTCTGAAAAAGAACTTTGCGACGTAAAAGTGGGCAGTGTAGTCAAAAAATGAGATTCGTTTAAGACAAAAGAAAATAGCTTTTGTTGTTTTTCGCGGTATTGTTAGCAAGCAAACTAATTCCATCTGAAAATGTACGAGGACCTTGTTCAGAAAAATTTCAGAATCGGATCAGCGGTTCCAGACCTATTAGTTTAAGCATTTTTTTATAATATAAAAGGAGCTAATTAAAAATGGTTTGTCCAAACCAATAAAGTACACGCTCCATTGTTCTTGAAAAAGGTTTCTCAAAGCAACTTTTGACTAAAATATAATGAAACAATAAGAACCTAAAGACAGCTTATTTTAAGTACATCAATGGTCAGTTTAGTTTAACAATCTTCTGGCGGTTTTTGTTAAAAGTATTCAAATTCGAATCGAGATCTTTTTCCTGTAACTGTTTCTAGAAATACATAATATGTATTACGTGTTTTAAATAAGGTTACTAAATTTTGCACTAAGTATACCTAACTACCGACTCTATATGACACAGCCACAATTATCTAATAACAGGAATCCTATTTTGAGACAGTTTCAAAGATTATGGGGATGACAAGCCAGATAAGGGCATCGATAAGGTGTAATAGGGTTTTCATGTACTGAGTTGGCGTTCGATATGTTGAATAGTTGATGAGATATGTAACTTGATAACATTGCGAATTTGCAAGTAATGGATCCATAGAAAGGCAAAAATAAATCGAAACAAATCTTAAAGTTCGAAATAAGTATTTGTAGTTTTCTTTTCCTTCTTATTTATTTCATTCTCTTACCCTATTGTTAGCTCATCGAAGGGAGCCCGCTCGAAAGCAACATCCTACGAGTTTTGTAGGCGCGGTGAAGGAAGAATCAGTAAGTTAGAATTTTGTTCATCTATAGGTGTACAGATTGAGTACACACAATAAAAACAAAAACATAGTTTTTTATGGTCTAAGTACTTGGCTTTTGTAGAACTAGAGTTTGGGCTGGTTAGGCTTACAGTTTCCTTAGTAATTTCTCGGTTTTTTTTTGGGAGATTTTTACCACGTCTCTTCTAAACGTTGACAAACTTAGCGGAAGATTGCGAGTTTCTCTCAGGACAGTCTGTTGTTATTGAAGAAAGTATTGTTGTATGTTTTTTTACCTGTCTTCAGCGTCGAGTTGCATGAGGAGCTTGCGTAGTGCCGCGGCGTCGATGGCGTCCCAGGGGGCTGACAGGCCTCCGTCGTTATCCGCACGGACCAAAGAATTTTCTGATTGCTCTTCCTCTGATTCCTGTTATGAAAATATATTTTTGAAGCCGGAAAATAAATTATGTGAGAGATTCATAATCGAAAATGAAAAGAGTTCGAGTTGTTCGACATAGTCTTCGATAAACGAGAAAAAGTACTAAAGGGTATAGAAAATAGAAAAAGAAACCGTTTCTTCAATACCTGCTAAATGCTCTAAATCATAGCTATAAAGAAAAGTTAGTATAAAATCTTATTAGTTAATTAATTACCCTTACCATTATACATTTTAATTTATTTTCTCAAGCTCAATATACTTTCTGTTAATTTATGTTGCTCACAAGAGTCAAGTAGCATTCGCCTCGTTTACTAAATATTTCAACAAAATCAAAAAAACCAGATGAAAGAGCACATATAATTAATTATTAAGTAATTACACTGACTATTGATAAAACCTATGATTAATAATAGTCTGTAGACGTGAAAGAAAGTTGAGCAGGTTACGAGTATAAAAGATTTTTCACAACTCTGTATTTAATTAAGAGTGTCACTAAGGTCACTGAGGCACTAGCTACCTACGTATTTTGGCGTTGAATAGTTAATATACAGAGCGACTCTATTTAACGCATTGTTCTAAGCCACTGAATTTGTTTGAAATGCTAATTTCGGTCAACCAGACAATTAATCAACAACAGTCTTTTACCAGTCGAATTATTTTCAGCAACTAATTAAGTTACCAAAATACATGTGTATTATTAGTTTACATTTTCTATTTATTTTTGTTATAAACTCAATAAACAATTGAAAGAAGAAAGAAAGAAAGAAAGAAAAAATGTTTATTCAGTATCATCGACAATACACTTGCAATACTTAACATTATTTAATGAGAAGGTAATTACAATGATACTGAAAAGGTATCCACTCAGCATGATTGATTGATTGATTGAAAATATTTTTAGTTGTGGCTTACGTAAGTACTTCGTTCGTTCGTTCGTTCGTTTCAGCCGAAAGACGTCCACTGCTGGACAAAGGCCTCCCCCAAGGATTTCCACAAAGACCGGTCCTGCGCCGCTTGCATCCAGGTACTNATAAGCACGCTTTCAATTAGCTCGCACTTATTTTGATGGGAAGGCGAGTAATGGAGGCGAGTTTTGTTCTCCGATGAATGCAGACTGTGTTTGCAGTGCAGCAGTCGAAGAGGTCGGGTCTCTAGGCGGCCTAGGGAGCGATTTGTGCAGTGCTGGTTCGCTGAAACAGTGACTTATGGGGGTGGCTTGCATCGACTTCCCATAGAGATGTGTTAGAGCAAATTGAAAGCGTGCTTATCGGTGACCTGCCGTCAGTTTCGACCCTGTGGCAGGCCTTTTTGGAGTCAAATTCTATAGCTTATATCTTAGACGAACTGTCCACTTACTAACAGCTATCCTACGAACATTTCTGAGCTCTTGCTGGACGTCGATACCAGTCAAATGACGATTTCATAGAGAGGTTGACATGAAAAAACGGTCATCCCTCTGCGATGTGCACCGGCGCTGTTCAGAACTTGGTCTCGGGATAAAGCCACCAGTCTCCCGAAAGCGTCTTAGAACTTTCGAAACCCAGGACTGGCTTATGTGGAGCTGACGTGCGACAGCCCACTGGCTGAGCCCTTCTTGCAATATTGCAACGATTTGTGCTGCTTCTGAAGGTGTAGAATCCCAGGTAAAGTGTCAAAAGAAGCGAAGATGTGTATGGATTAATGTGTGAAAGCAAAAATCCGAAAACACGTGCTTTTATAGGGCGTAAATAGGCCGCAACTCGCGACGTATCAAACAATTGATACATGTCTTTTTCCTTACTTCTTCATTTCAGCCGGGATATCTTTTTAAATACTGGTGTGATTTAAATGAATTTGGTATCAATTTAAAGTTAAAAGTTTAGTCTTTAAAATGGTGTCACTTTTTTTGTTACTAACACATTCGTTAGTACACAAGATCGCGTGGAAACAACTTCATGTAAGTGATTCCATACTTTTGCTCGCGAGTGTAGTCTCGAACCTTGTAGTACCCTTTGGACATAAGGGTATTTTTTATATGTATCTTAAATTTGTTTATTGGCAATTCGACAAGGTTGTTTGGTATTTTGTTAAATATGGTAATACATTTCCCCGTTTCTTCAATACCTACTCTAAATCATAGCTATAAAGAAAAGTTAGTATGAAATCTAAAGAAACTTGTTTTAATTATCTTAATATCATTAATTAATTACCCTTACCATCATACATTTTAATTTATTTTCTCAAGCTCAATGTACCTACATACTTTCAGTTAATTTATGTTGCTCACAAAAGTCAAGTAGCATTCGCCTCGTTTACTAAATATTTCAACAAAATAAAAAAAAACCTGATGAAAGAGCATATCAGCATATGTAATTAATTATTAAGTAACTACATTGACTGTTGATAAAACCTATGATTAATAATAGTCGGTCGACATGAAAGAAAGTTGAGCAGGTCATGAAAGATTTTTCACAACTCTGTATTTAATTAAGAGTGTCACTAAGGTCACTGAGGCACTAGCGACCTAAGTATTTTGGCGTTGAATAGTTAATATACAGAGTGACTCTATTTAACGCATTGTTCTAAGCCACTGAATTTGTTTGAAATGCTAATTTCGGTCAACCAGATAATTAATCAACAACAGCCTTTTACCAGCCGAATTATTTTCAACAACTAATTAAGTTACCAAAATTACATGTGTATTATAGTTTACATTTTCTATTTATTTTTGTTATAAACTCAATAAACAATTGATTGATTGATTGAAAATATTTTTAGTTGTGGCTTACGTACTTAGTACTTACTGGATGTTTTATATTACAAAAAAAAAACTATGTAGAATGGTCGATTTATTTAGTTCAATTTGTATTATGTTCTGTTTTTTTCTCACTAGGTAACTAGACCTTCTTTCCATCATCCTGTATAAAGAAAAGGCAAACAGCTGCTGAAGACAATTTTATTGTGCTGCCAATGAGGTACATAGACAAAGAGTTGCAAACTAAGACAGACAGGACGCTTAGAACTTCTTCTCATCTTTAAATTAATGTGACATCGTGAAATACGTTTGCATAACTGTGTTTATTTACAACAGTTCATTATCAAAAAGTTTTTATCTATTTATAGTCCAGTCAATAAAGCATTATAGATGGAAAACTGTAGAACACAATTTCTGACTTCAGGACTTTATTTAGACTAGTTAGGAGGTGAACATAGCAAAAGTCCCCGCCCTTAGCCCTTGAGCCGGCGGGGAGTTTAAAGGTGCCACTTTTCGGTTTTTCGCTTAATCCTCGGAAACTATGCGTCCTAGTGACATGACTACTTTGAACCAAAAAAAGCATATTTCTCCTCATTTCTGATTCGATCACGCTAAGTACTTACTGGATGTTTTATATTACTAAAAAAAACTATGTTGAATGGTCGATTTATTTAGTTCAATTTGTATTATGTTCTGTTTTTTTCTCAGTAGGTAACTAGATCTTCTTTCCATCAGCCTGCTTAAAGAAAAGGCAAACAGCTGCTGAAGACAATTTTATTGTGCTGCCAATAAGGTAAATAGACAAAGAGTTGCAAACTAAGACAGACAGGCACGCTTAGAACTTCTTCTCGTCTATAAATTAATGTGTCATCGTGAAATACGTTTGCATAACTGTGTTTAAAAAAGGTTTTAATCTATTTAGAACAGCCGAATATTCCTTGAATAAAGCAGGTGACGAAGAAAGTAGCGAAAAAAAAAATTGAAAAAAGAACTTTTTTAATGTAGTTTTTTTTACTTTTTTCTCTTATTTGGCATAACACGGTTTGTGCGTTGCCAGATATACTCACTTAATAAGTTTTAGCTCTTACCATAGGGGCAGCGAAAACTGACACAAACAGCAATGCGAGGGTGGCTATCATCAACACGGCGCTGGTAGTGTAGGGCGCGGAGACTTTCATTGTGGCGGCTGTAAAAACAAATTGATATTAACGGCGGACCCTCGCAACACCTTTTGTGTAACCCTAAAAACCAAGCCATGTTCTTCATTAAAAAAAACTTAAAACACCGTTTACGCGCTGAAAGTATCTTCATAATTCTTTTTTGTAGGTTTAAGGGTTATGCCTACTTGACTATAATTTCATTAGCTGAAACATAAAAACGGTTAATAAGGAGAAAGAAAAATTAAGTCTCGTGAAATATAAACGGGTTAATACACCCGTCGAGAAGAAATGGACTAATTATGTAAATATAAATATTCTTTATTTCTGGACGGTAAGTTTAAGGTCTGTTAGGTACTGGGTCATGCGAGAGTCTAAATTATACTTTTACTAGGACCTGAATGTTTTTGTTAATACACCGGTCGAGAAGAAATGGACTAATTATGTAAATATAAAATGTAATTTTGGCTCTTGTTTGTCAAAAATAAACTTTTATAAAAAGCTCTACGATCATCATCATTTAACGTCATCAGTTCATTTGGTCTCCACTGAAGGAGCACAACCCTCTCAATTTAGCAGAGACAAATTGAGGATTTTGCCTAAACTCCCCACGCTGACCGGGAATTTACGATTAAACAATCTCTTAATTCCCATGTAATTTTAGAAATGACACTCATAACAATACCTATTTGTAATAGTTAATCCTGTAATAACATATTCTAATCGTCTAATATCAACTTAATAACTTAATTGGTGTGTTGGTAACCCGTTTAGTTGCCTTTTGATTACATGGACCCGTCCGAACCCTTTGGCTCACGCATTGACGTCACGAACCGCTTTTTAAAATTTAAGTTTAATTAACCGCTTGTAGATCTTAACTTTAATGAGGTCATTTTAATATAAAGCACTAAAATAATTAAGCTACAAAAATTTGACAAATGGAATTGTTCACTTATGAAGCGAGCAACATCTAAGTGAAAGGATAGTGCCAGGGTCTGGACCAAGTGTTGCCCAGAATCAACACAAAGTGCATTTTGATCCTCAGGCCTGTACTAATGTGTAAACCGAAGCGCACTGAAATCTATCCCTTAGGAGTTAAGAGAAAAAAAGAGTTTTGTTTTGAATTATTTACATACAAAATATCATCGATGTATACGTACTACGCATAAGATTTCGCGATTGTGGCATTACATAACACGCGCTATGTTGAACTAAAATAAAGTGACATATGCCCGTTTTCACCATCAATCCCTAATTTTTAAGTGACCCCTATGAAAACAAAATTCCCACTATGTGTTACCCTATGGGTCACTTAAAAATAGGCATTGATGGTGAAAACAGGCAATAAGTAGTCTAAAGATTTCAGTACCATGGACTCCTGATCCAAGGGTCGTTCTGCTGCTGCTGAACCATTTATACAAGTGAACCCGATGCTAACACTTACAGGTTCAAACAAAAGTCAAGGGAACACGTGCGTGTGACTCAATAAATGTCGTGCGTAAGGCCTTATGTGGACATTCGCGGGGGCCAGGCCCTGCTGGCGACAGGCGCAACGACCCCCGCATGGTTTTATTTCGCCACATCTCCTTTGGCGGTGTCAAGGTGTCATTTACACGGCAAAATAAATTACTGAACACAGGAAAACAAGCTTAGAATACCGTTTGTAAAATTCATTTAAACTTGAAATTAATGTGATCGCTTAGTGAGTATTTTTATAAATATTTATAGAATGCCTCANACTAGCTTTCCGCCCGCGGCTTCGCCCGCGTGGAATTTTGTCTGTCACAGAAAAACTTTATCGCGCGCGTCCCTGTTTCAAAAACCGGTATAAAAACTATCCTATGTTCTTTCCCGGGACTCAAACTATCTCTATGCCAAATTTCATCAAAATCGGTTGCGAGGTTTAAGCGGGAAAGCGTAACAGACAGACAGACAGACAGACAGACAGACAGACAGACAGACAGAGTTACTTTCGCATTTATAATATTAGTTGGGATAGTTGGGATGCCTCATCTCAAATGTTGTATTTAACTAACCCTTTAACTCTTTGTTAAAATGTGTTTTTACTGAATGCTTTTTAGAGCTAATATAATTGAATTATCAATCTACTCAACTGAGCCGCTTCATTGTTGGAAAATATTATTATAATGTCTACAGATAAAACTACAAGATCAAATCCCAACTTAATATTATAAATGCGAAAGTAACTCTGTCTGTCTGTCTGTCTGTCTGTCTGTCTGTCTGTCTGTCTGTTACGCTTTCCCGCTTAAACCTCGCAACCGATTTTGATGAAATTTGGCATAGAGATAGTTTGAGTCCCGGGAAAGAACATAGGATAGTTTTTATCCCGGTTTTTGAAACAGGGACGCGCGCGATAAAGTTTTTCTGTGACAGACAAAATTCCACGCGGGCGAAGCCGCGGGCGGAAAGCTAGTATTCTATATTTCTGGACGGTAAGTTTAAGGTTTGTTAGGTACTGGGTCATGCGAGAGCCTAAATTATACTTTTACTAGGACCTGTGTGCCTACCATGAGTTTACGTTAGGTGAGCTCGCTAGCGAATACGTCAAAAAATTATATGAAGATTTTATTTCTTGAAAGTAGCCGCTAGGGGCGCTGCACAATATGTCATACATTTAAATGTCATTTTTTTACGCAGTCGCTAGCGAGCACACCTAACGTAAACTCATGGTAGGCACACATAATGTTTTTGTTACTTATTAGGTACGTGTATTTTATTGACTAATTTTATCAACGACGTATTAGGAAAAACAAGATCTCATTGATTTATTAAAATTTCAGTAAGCAAATTCCCCAGAGTTGTGTAGATATTCGGAAAAGATCTTCATAATTCGCAACCTTTTAGTGCACATACTTATTCCGAAATTTGCCTTAATTATTCAATTTGATTCCCTTATTTTATACAAAACTCTCGTGAGTACGAGTCAAAAGGTTCAGGATGTTGAATTTCAGTTGAGAGTATGTCTAGGGTTATTTTATTTGTATTTGAAATTTTAATAACAATAGACGGAAGACTCATTCGGTACCAGAAATTAACTGGCAGTCCTTAGCAAGGGTTTGTGAGTTTTGTTTTGTCAGAGTATTAATTAATTAACGTTAATGGGGTTTTTACGAGTATAGAGCCTCAATGATGGCGACGCGTATTGTTTGTTGGTTTACTCGTACTTTGCCAATAGTTGGATATAGAGAATATGTTTGTGGCAGTCAATTCCTCGAATCATACGCCATAATCAACAATAATGACTGCTTTGTGTTTAGTTATTATTGCGAGTAGGCGTCAGAGGTGCGCCTGTTATGATTGACACGTAGTTTCTAAATTAAGCAACATTTTTTTTTTTTTTTTTTTTTGAAGGGACGCGCGCTGGTAGCTTGAGGAGCTTTTCCAGCTTCACCGGGCAGAGTGGCGAGTACAGAAGGTACTCTAGCCGTTTGGCGATCGTCGGTGCGCGTGCCGACGAGGCCGAGTGTGGGCTTCGCTTAGCGAAGCCCAGGCTCGTCCGCGTCGGTCGCAGACCGACGTTCGCGATCGGGCCGTATCGAGCGCATAAGGCGCCCGATCAGTGGCGAACCCAACTAGAGGATTGCCCACCGCGGTGTTGGACCAAAGTCCAGCCTACGGCGGGCTCACTCTAGTGGGCCCGATCGAGGATTAAGCAACATCAACGGTCGGATCGCCTTATATAGATGACCCACGCTGAACTGTCCCACCAAACTCAATGACAGGGGGGCGCTACCATCGTTCAACTACATGGCAAAAATCGGAACCAGCGATCCGGTATTGACGGTGGCGTCCCACTGTCAATGTCATGCATAGGACAGTTCAGTATAGATGACCCACGCTGAACTGTCCCGCCAAACTCAATGACAGGGGGGCGCTACCATCGTTCAACTTTATGGTTTCCAACATGGCAAAAATCGGAACCAGCCATTCGGTATTGACGGTGGCGCCCCGCTGTCAATGTCATCGATAGGACAGTTCAGTATTTTGGAACTATATTTTGGAACTATACTCGTAAATAGAGCTACTTTTATCTAACTTATTTAAAATTTATTGTTCTCGGAAATAAATTATTGCTTATAACAATTAATTTCAGTATTAATTTCATTAAGCTCCTTTGTGCTTTTTCTGACTTCTGTAGTTTATCATTCATATTTTTGTTCGTAAATATTCTATCTTCATTTAAAACACTTTTGAAAGCTTCCACATATTATCGGAGCCTGGTTTACTAAATTCAAGGAGTTTATCAGACCATATTTTATATTATAGGTAGGTAGGTATTCAAAATTCAAAAAAACTCATAATAACCAAAAGAATTAGTATTATAAAATAAGTTACTGTGTAACATAGCTGATTTAAAAATTATTCAAAATGATAAAGGTCAAACATTTGTTAAAACCTTTTTTTTCTGCTATACATACATACGTACATAACATAAATATGTTTAATCATCATTCATCAATCCAACATCAATCAAAAGTTTTCTTTCTAATAATTTTCCCAACAGGAATATCCCATTTACTGTTATATTTACACTTCCAAAACGTTGAATGTAGGAGGTAAAGCTGTGGGCTTTCATCGTTGTATATCTTCACGAGGTCCCAGCGGACTGTGTATAAAACTCGCGAATCATGCCTCAGGGTTAAGAATCGCCTTGACAATAATTTGATATACGAGCTGTTATTTATACGTGTTTACCCAAACCAATTGACCAAGGGTCGGGGACTCAGGACATTGATTCAGGATGTCGGAAAAGTTTAACAATAGGGCTACTTTCATATTGAAATATTACTACGAGTACTTTAGTGAAATACAAATTCCTAACGCCGTAACGTTTCCACTTTCCAATATCCCATTTATGGAAAACTGATATTATAGCGGAAATAATTGATTTCAAATATATTGTACAAAATTTGGAGTAGGTATTAGATTATTTATCTCTAATAAGTATACATTGTCGACTCGTCGCGACAGTATTTTAAACACAAAAAGTGCCTAATGTTTGAATCAG